TGGCTTCGGAGCTGGAGTCGTCGCTGGAGGCGAGCTTCTCGGCCGGCGGCGCGGGGTCGGGGGCCTCGGGGACTCTGCCTCCCGCGCGCTCCCGCATCTTCAAGATCATCGTGATCGGCGACTCCAACGTGGGCAAGACGTGCCTGACCTACCGCTTCTGCGCCGGCCGCTTCCCCGACCGCACGGAGGCCACCATCGGGGTGGACTTCCGAGAGCGAGCGGTGGAGATCGACGGCGAGCGCATCAAGGTGAGCGGGCGGGGGCCTGTCCGGGAGGAGGGCACCCCGGCTGGACGCGTGTCCCGGCCCCGCGCCCGGGCGCAGCGTGCGCTCCGTGTTTTTCCCACGCCGATGGGGAGGTCGGGAAGGATCTGTGCGCAGCAAACTTGTAAGGCCGCGTTTCTCCAACTTCAGCGTGCGGCGGTTCGCCGGGGCATCTTGTCTTTAAAAGCGCAGGTTGTGGTTGGGTAAACTCCCAGGTGTGGCAGATGCAGCTCGCCCGTGGACCACACTTGGAGTTCAGGAGCGCAGGGGTGTCTGCCGACTCACGCATGGGCTGCGTCTTACCTTCTGGGAATCAGTGAAACGTGGCCGAAGGGAAAACTGACGTTTTCCAACCGTGGGAAATCCACGTAACCCACGTATGTTCAACGTTCATTCGAGCCCTGCTCTAGGTATTGTGGAAGTAAAGCCCACTGCCTTTGGGGAAGTGCGTAGGCATTCTCTTGCATGCAGTTTTGCTGTGGTAGTTTGTGTGACTTTGATTTGTCTAGAAACATCTCTAATCCCAGAGCACTTTGGGAGGCTGAGGTGGGTAGGATCGCTTGAGCCCAGGAGTTGGAAAACAGCTTTGGAAATAGGGCGAGACCTCGTCTCTGCAAAATAAATCAAAAGAAAAGCCAAGAATAATCTATTTCCTGCAGAAACAGTCTCTGTGTGATAGTTTTGTGCATGGTAGTTTGGGTTACCAAAAGCATCTTTCTTCTTGTTGCCTCAGACCCTCTCTCCCGATTTTTCTTTCTTTAAGTCATTATTGATGGCTCCTGAAATTGGGGGGTGGGGGGCACGATGACACTGTGTTAATAGTGGAGAAAGTTGAGGAGGCCCCAGGCCAGGTCTGATGTTGTGAGGGATTGCCGTGGAATACTGGAGAATGAGAGTCAGTGACAAAGCTGAGGCCTCCTGACGCTGCGAACCTCAGACACACTTTCATTACAAGCCACCGCTAGATGCCACCTGCTGATACCACCCCTTACAATGTGGGTAGAACTACCCTGCCTTCCTCATACTAACTGCTTTTACTGTTTGCTTTGAATTGGTGTTCATTCTCTGCACTGGCATGAGTATTTTAAAAAATGCATAAATAAATAAAATAGAGTTTATCTTTATCTCTGTCCCCTAGTGGGGATGGCAAAACAGGCTTGCTGCTTTCATTTCTGTCCTCATATCTTTGAGGTAAGAACAATTTATTTTTCAGTTTCTTTTTGTTTTGTTTTTGTTTCTGTTTTGAGATGGGGTCTCACCCCGTTGCCCAGGCTGGAGTTCAGTGGCACGCTCATGGCCACCCCAGCATTGACCTGCCAGGCTCTGGTGATCCTTCCGCCTCAGCCTTCCAAGGAGCTGGAACTACAGGTGCATACTGCCACGCCCAGCTAATTTTTTATTTATTGTAGAGACGAGGTCTTGCCAAGTTGCCCAGGCTGGTCTTGAACCTACGGGGTCAGGCAGTCCACTCGCCTTGGCCTCCCTAAGTGCTGAGATTACAGGCTGAGCCACTGAGCCTGGTCTGTTTTTCAGTTTCTTTTTTTTTTTTTTTTTTGAGTTGGAGTCTCACTCAGTCGCCCAGACGAGTGCAGTGGCCGCTCCCAGCCACTGCAGCTTTGCCTGCTGGGCTCCGGTGATCCTTCCGCCTCAGCCTTCCAAGTAGCTGGAATTACAGGCATGCGCTACCATGCCCGGCTGATTTTTTTATTTATTGTAGAGATGAGGTCTCGCTGCCCAGGCGGGTCTCGAACCCGCAGGCTCAGGCAATCCACTCACCTCAGCCTCCCAAAGGCGCGGGATTACAGGCTGAGCCACCGAGCCCGGCTTGTTTTCAGTTTCTTATTCACCACCCCTCCCACCCCAAGGGGTTTTACTGCTAAGATGGTAAAGGAGAAATAAGCTGGGTTGGAAGAAATCAGCTGTTCTGCAGGCACTTTTGTCCTTTAACTCTTCACTTCAATATTCCATCGTCCCATACGAGCTGCCAGTGGTAGCCTTTGGGTACACTGTTTTAGGGAGGTAAGAAAGGTTTGGGTACATGCGGAGAAAAAGGCAGAGTAAAAGGCGGCAGAATGTGTTCACCAGAATTAGGTTAGAAGCCTGTGGGGAGGGAAGTCATGAGACTTTGAAGTTTGCAAGGGTTTACTTGCGAGAAGCAGGAGTCTGGGAGCCGGTGCTTGGGCTTTGGAGCCTGACTAACCTGGGCTTGAATCTGAGCCTGTGAAAGGGTAGGATGGGCTGTGTGTCCTTAGCAGAGTGACCAACTTGCCCCAGACTGTCCAGCTTTTAAGACTGGACTCCCACGTACCAGGAGCCTCTCCGTGTTGTAGAGAGTTGGTCACCCGAACCTTTGGCAGATTTCCTTAGCCTCTCAGAGCCGGTCTTCTCTTCTGAAAAATAGGGGTCACAGTACCTTATCAGGTTGGTGTGAGGATTGGATGGGATCATATATGGAGCACCTCATTCATAGTTGGTACCTTTAGAAAAGATTCTTTGTCTTTCCTGGTGGCCTAACAACATTTTTCCTCTTTGGTACCATTAGTTCTGCAGTTGCACACCCGAAGATGGAAGCAGAGATAGAACAGGGCATAGGTAGACAGCTGAAGGGAGAAAATAACCCAAAATATGGGAGCATGACATTTTTTAAAAGCAGGGAGAATGACTAGGAGTGGTGACTCACACCGGTAATCCCAGCACTTTGGGAGGCCGAGACGGGAGGATTGCTTGAGACCAGCCTAGGCAACATAGCAAGACCTCGTCTCTACAAAAAATAAAATTAGCTGCACCTGGTGGCTCTTGCCTGTAGCTCCAGCTACTTGGGAGGCTGAGATGGAATGATCACCTGAGCCCAGGAGGTCAAGGCTGCAGTGAGCCATGATTGTGCCACTGCATTCCAGCCTGGATGACAGAGTGAGACCCCAACTAAAAAAGGGGGGGCAGGACAAGAGAGGAGTTGAGATTTGAAGGCCCTTTACCAGTTCCTGGGTTGCCATTGATACTTCAGGATCACAGATGAATCGGGTGCAAGTTTAAGGGATACTGGTATTGAAAAAATAAAGCATGTGCAGTATGTCAAGTCAAATACTTAAGTACGGGGATGAGGAAGCCAGAACCACGGACGTGGTGAGTTGGAGCTCAGAGTCCATCCTTCTGGTTGAGAAGAGTCGGGAGAAAGCCTTTCTCTGGGATCACTTATCCTGAGCCGTAGCCTAATCTGTCATATTGATGGGCACCAGGATGCTGAAATTCTCTCTTCTAAGGCCCTCGCCACTGACCTGTGCCACCAGCTGTGAAACTGATAGATCTCTGTTGTGGCTGGAATTACTACAGAAGTGTTCTGAGATTTCTGTAGTAGAAAAAGATATGGCTATGTACAAAATTAAAAAACACACACACACAAAACTTGATGTTTTAAGTGGCCTTTTCTTAAAAAAAAAAGGCTGAAAAATGATATAAAAGCTGTATTCCGTGTGCTGCTGCTGTTGCTTGTTTGATAACCTATAATACATCTTCAGTGCTGCTGAGGTAGGTGTTCCTATCATGTTCCTGTTATGTCTTTGGAAATTTGTGAACCTGATCTGAAATGACATTTTCTCTTTTTTTCTCAAAACTGGAAAGCTCTATAGTAAAATGACATTCTAGACATTATTTGTTTGGTAAAAATGAGATATTGGCCGGGTGCAGTGGGTCACGCCTATGAGCCCAGCACTTTGGGAGGCTAAGGTGGGAGGATCACTTGAGCCCCCAAATTTGAGACCTTTCTGGGTAACATAGCGAGGCCTCATCTGTACAAAAAATTGACTGAGCGTGATAGCGCATGCCTGTGGTCTCAGCTACTAAAGAATCGCCTGAGCTCAGGTGGTCGAGTGATTGTGCCACTGTACCCCAACCTGGGCAACAGAGTGAGACTCTGACTCAAAAATCAACCAGTCAATCAAATCAAATAAAAATGAGATACTGCATTAAGTGTTGTGATAATTGTGAACTGGTGGATTTCCAGAGAGCCTTGACTTGTAGCAGTGCCCCTTCAGAGTGAGTTAAAATGTCTTATAAAATACAAGAAAGTGTGTATTTGCTCATCTGTTCCTAAGCACTATATACATATAATTGAGAAAGGAAAAACTCATTTCCAAGGTTTTGGAAGTTGAGTAAAATTATAATTAATTCCTTAAATAAAACTTCATTTGACTTTTAAATGGAGACTCCCGACTCTAGTGCTGTTCCTTCCTTGTATATCACCATGGTGACTAACTATATACCTTTTACACAGTCATTTTCTAATGGCAGACAAACCAACAGAATCATTAAACCATTAAAACCTAGTGTCGGATCCAATGCAGCCTCCCCTTGGGAGTCGGGACTTCCTACTTGAACATTTCAAGAGCTTATTTATTGGTGGTGGTGGAAAGGAAATTTTTCCCTATCAAGTACAAGATGATAATATTAACTGAAGGACACTCATCAAGACCTCTCCCCACATCGGTGGTCAAATATTTAATGAGTAATTGCTAGAAAAAAGATGTTTTGTTAAGCACAAAGAATTACAGCACAAGGGTCAGCAAGCGATGCTTGAGGGCTAAACTGCCTGTTTTTATATGGCGCACAATCTCAGAACGATTTTTTCACTTTTTAATGACTGGGAAAATCATCATGAGATTTCATGCATGTGAGAGTCTTGAAATTAACAGTCCACCTAGGTTGCACTGGCCTCGTCCTCGGGGTTTCCTCCCTCTGCTCCCAAAGTCCGACCGACTTTCCCCCAGTCATCCTGTTTGTAAAATTTGAGTTCAAGTCTTTTTTTGAACCTCTCTTTGAACTGTTGGAGCAGCTCAACTGGTCTCCCACCCCCAGTTCTCAACTGACCTACTTCATACAGTGTTGTCAACATGTTGTCAAAATGCTAGATTAATCATCCACTACAGGGAGATTTAGCTCCCCAACCTCAGACACCCTGGGTGCATCTCCACTACGTTATGAATTCGAGC